GAGACGGGAGAGGGGAGAGGGGAGAGGGGAGAGGGGAGAGGGGAGAGGGGAGAGGGGAGAGAGAGTTCTCCTTACAGACTACAGACTACAGACTACATCTGAACTGTCTTACAGGGGTCACTCTGCAGAGTCAGCCCCACTTGGCTTTCAGCCCAGACTGGTAGCTTACTTAAGGAACTTTTAGGGGACCAGTGTCAACTGCATGTACATCTTGGGGACGGGGCTTCTTTGGAAGGAGTGGCAATCTGTTAGTTTTAACTCCACGGGACGTTAAATCGGCTGATTTTGGAAACCAGAGACTGAAGCTGCCATCACAATCACATATAACAAGGTAGTTTCTTTTACGATCATTTACTGGTCCAAATTCTCTGAAGATGCTTTCTGCCTTCTGGTTCTTGTGCAAGCGCCAGCATCATTGATTTCATTGTCTCTTCTTATGCACAACCACCTACCTACTATTGGATTCACGTGCTGCAGACAGAACGAGTCATGACAGGCAGAGCAAAAGAACCTGGTGAACCTTCACTCTTCACAAGTGTCTGATGCTGGAGAGGGACATGCTACCAGGAGTACTGGATAAGGGGGCACAACTGAGCTAGGAGGATTTTCTACTGTTACTGGTCAGCACCAAGCGGGACTCTGTCCTGGCTTGCTGTGTCTTAGTTATCTAAAACCCCAAGGGTGAAGACTGTGTTTTGTTCATCTCCATATTGTGTGGCTATGTTAGGATTTTAAAGCTGTAAACGGCTCTTAGCACCACCTAATTTATCGTCTCTTATCACCACAGGGGGAACGGAGAGCCCGAGAGATGAGAAACTTGACCTTCATGATTTGTTCTGTCAGAACTGGGATTAGAGCCCGGTTTCCAGACTTGCAGATCCTGTTCTTTAGGGGCGCAGGCACGCACGCACGCACGCACGCACGCACAGGTGCACACTGCCCCATCCAGGTTGTCTGGAGTGGTTCTGGTTTATGCCTGTTGTCCTGGCTTAATCATTAGTGGAGTGTTGTGTCTCTACCCTAAGTATCCCAATAATAAAACAGACACTGCACAGTCAACTTAGTAATATTTCATCCTCTTCTTCCATAACAAAGAAAGCGGAAACTTCTAGATGACTGCTCCGCTTAAGGCCTGAAAGGATTTCAGAAGAGTATGCTGTGGAGATAGTTTGCATTGGTGTGGTCACTGTCCTGTCCAGGGTAGGAGGGGAAGCCCTGAGCCAATTCCAGGCTCTTCGCAGCACAGCAAGCACTGCCCTAAACAGCTGCTAGAGGGGAAGGTGAGACTTCAATGTAATGGACCCACAGGGGACACTTATGGGAAGCCATCGATAAATAAGACACATTTGTTCTGTGATATGAAGTCCCACTGAGAAGTGATCAGTGTCTCAACTGGCTAAGCTGGTGGCTGGGGTGAAGTGGAGTCACGGGGGTGGGGAGGGGGGTGAACGCAGCCTTGTGCTGTGTCTCTGCACACCCATTGTGTCGGGACGCTCAGTCACAGAGGGGGCTCTTGCTGAAGCACACACTGCAGTGTCTCTTCTCTTTCTGACCTGCCATTCATATGAGGGCTGCGCACTTCTAACCCAAGATCTGAGCTCTGAAGTGCTCTACGGTCTGAAACCCCGAGTGCCCACACGATGTCACATGTGTTGAATCCCATACCTAACCTTGGGTGACAGGTCACATTCAAAACATAAGCATGTTGGTAATTTCTAGAAAATTAAAACCTTAAAAATCCTGTAAAAATCATCTCCAGACTATGTATATAAGATATATATATATATGTATGTATGTATGTATGTATACAAAACAAATGAATTTTATGGTTAGTTTTGGGTCCCATTCTGATGTATAGTGTGTGTGTGTGTGTGTGTGTGTGTGTGTAGTATGTAAATATTATAACACCTGAAATGCAAACCACTTCTGGTCCCAAGAATTTTGATAAGAAACACTTAACTTTGACTCATGAATACACACTTAAGTCATGTCGGGTAACAATGTTAAGTGATCTTGGGTCAATATTGTTTTGTGTATCCTTAACTGTGTATAAAATTTGGTATGCACAGTTTCACCTAATAGAAATTTTTCTTTTGGGCTAGATCTCTCTCTATTTTAGCATATATCTCTATATTCTCACCTGCTCTTGACTGAGCTATTGTCTTCACAATTGGCAGTGTTTTGGTTCTTGAGATACTGTACTCTGAATTTTTTTTTTTTTTTTGAGAAGAAACGAAAGCGGCTGGAGACGAGGAAGGCGAGCCGACGACATTCAGAAAGTATGAGGCAGGAGGTAGCTACCTCCTGTCATCTCTGTGTCTTATGTGGCTCCTTCTGTTGACACCACCTTGTAGAGATGGTGTTGTCTGTTCATCTGAGCTTGGCACAATGTCGGAACACGGACAAGGGGGAGAAGAGGCTCTCAGATCTTGCTTCTTGACCTCTGGCATCAAAGATGGTCTCAGTGGATATACACTTGGTACTTTTAAGAGCTGGTTCTGAAGCGCATCTACCTGATCTGCAGGGGTAGGAAGCCTTTGACCTTGGCCTCATTGGCTCTGTTCTCTTACTGACTGAGCTCTGAACTCACCACTGACATCACGGCGCATGTGTGCACAGCTCATCAGAGTGCACAACGGGACAGACACACCTCCACTCTCTTGGTTTGAGGGAAGCTCTCACCAGCTTTCTTCACGAAGGATTAATCCCTGAACAGAACAACAGCACACACACACTTACTTCCATATCAAATCAGTCCAAGGAGGAAGAAGTCACATGCCTTCAACCACGTTTAGAAAGAAGATAGGAACAGAAATTCCAAATGAAAAAAAAAAAAACATTTTTTTTTTTTAAAAAACAAAGAGGGGGAACCTATCTCAGAGCCTGTGTGTCTGTCTACAGACACACAGTCAGGCTGATAATGCCTTCCTTACTGTCAAGCTTCAAGCTTCGGTGAGCCCACCTCTTCTCTGGAGTGGCTCTTGGCTATTATGCAAGCTGGAAATGAGCAAGGCCAGAAGAGCCGAGCAGCATCAAACCCAAATTGATGGGAGGGGGCAGATGCTAAATTTAACTGGAGTCACGGGAGGAGAGGAGAGGATGAGAATCAGGGAGCCTGCCAAAACTACTGGCATTATTCTCTATGTCATATGCCTGAGAGGACTGCCTGAGAGACAAGGAGGCCTGGGGTCACCTGCAGTCAGGCTTTCTTTTCAAAAAGTGCTAATTAAGAGAGCGCCAAACACAAGCTTTTAGATTGTCTGACCACAAAAGAAAAGCCCCATGTTTGGGAATGATTCACAAGTCAACACAACTCCCCAAGGAATGGGGCCTTGAGAGTGGGTTTAAGGAAAGTAAGTTCAGAAAAGACCTGGACTACAGTGTTTGTACATCTGCATGCTGGCTGCCTGCTGGCCTGGGAGGATGAAGACTTGCTGGCCCTGGGAGATGTGACTCTAGCCAAATGCTATTGCACACCCAGCTGTTCAGTGGCATTGTGCACAAAGTCACATTTTATAGCCCTGCACTCAACCAACACCTGCTGCTGTACTTGACCAGAAGTTCATGGCCTCCAGCTATCTACTGATGTATTTCTGGCTCCCGTGAGTCCCAAGAAAAACAGCAACTATGACAGAAAGCTTCAAGTCAAGCTCACACCAGCAAATGGCCTTTGGTGAATGATGGAGAAAGCCCCTACCCAACACCGATTTCCCCCAGATTGAGTTTTCTCCTTGCACCAGCTTTTATGGACATCTTGCTCAAATATGGTCAGTGACCGACGCCTCTCTTCATAGTCACAGACTTAATTCTTCACTCTCCAGTTTCAGACTAACCAACTTGGGTCAGTTCTACAGTGGGAAAAGCTCATCTCTGCTGAAGCAGGGTGACAGATGGCTCCCACAGCGTTATTTATTTGCTTCTATATGGATTATATATATTTGAAAATTTTCATAATGAACGGACTCGCCAACTAAGTCATCCTACCGCTCTCTATGCTAAGGCCTTACCCTGCTGAGCTGGAATGTTTTTGCTGTTTCTCAGAACCTTCAAGGACTCCCCTAGAGCCTCCTCCTTCTATGAAGCTGAACCTGCTTTCCGTACCTGGGTGTCATTTCCCCTCCCATCATGCCCCCGTGTGTGTATTGTAATCAGCATTTACTTGGAACTATAGAGAGCTGAGAGTCTCAGGCCTTACTCCTCCAGGGAACTCCCCCAGAGCAGGCAAACTGTAGGCACTCATGCCACATTTTCCAAATGAAGAATGAAAGTGCAGTAATAAAAACAGTTTATCAAGTCTAAACCTCAGATAAGCAAAGATGACGCCTCTTCCAGTACCTTCTTCATGGTTCTGATGCAGAAGGACCTCTGGCTTGGTATGGATAGAGTTCCCGGGGTGAAAAAATGAGGAGAAGAGAATTCGAGGTTTCCTCTGCTTCAGGATATGCTGAAGGAGTTCGTAGAGCACATCACCTGGAGAGGAAAGAACAAGAAGCAAAGAGGTGAGATGCTTGGTTAACAGCTACCCATGTTGCCACAGAGCTGTGACAGCCACAGAGGTAAGGGAGCAATGTTAACTAACAGAACCGATCGCCGACCCTTGACAGGGATAGGACGCAGCGCCAACTCACGTGACTCTACATGCCAGGGCTGCGTGGTTTTGGAAGTTCTTATTTTAAGATTTACTTTAAGTGTGATTTATGAACGTGTGCGCCATGTGCATAGTATATGGGTGTTTGTAGAGGTCAGAAGATGGTGCTGTCAAGTCGTGATGCTGGGCAGTGCACTCAGAGTCCGCTAAGTGGGTAGATGTTGGGACAAATGTACACATAACTAAATTAATAATAACTATAATAACAAAGAAGACAAGGGGAGTTTGAGGCAGTGGATGCAGATATGGCATTTATTCCAGTGATGATCTCATGGAGATAGAGTTATCTCCAAACTGATCAAATTATGTACTTGTTTGTTTGGCTTTCGTAGGTTCATCAAATCTAAACCAAGCTGTTTGTAAACGCTAAAAATAAGATCGGTCCACTGTGCTACAAAGCTGTGGCCTCAGTCCTCTGGAGGTAGAGGCAAGAGTACTAGGAGCTCAAGGCTATTGTGAGGAGAGCCTAGGTTACCTGAGACCCTGTCTCCAACAACAACGATGCCGACAACGACAACAAGTAAAAGTAAAAACCTTTCACAAAGAAAGTTTTGGGACTGGAAACATGGTTTACTGGTTAAGAGCACTGCTTGACCATCAGAGGATGTTCCCAGAGTAGGAGAAATTTAAACTGTCACAAGCAATGTCCTCTTATTTTTGTGAAAATATTCCCCCCTTTCTCTTTCTCTCTCTCTCTCTCTCTCTCTCTCTCTCTCTCTCTCTCTCTCTCCCTCTCTCTCTCTGCTTGTACTTCAGAATTATTCAAAGAAAATGACATCTTTTGGTAGATATATTTTAGACGTACAAAATGGCTCACTCACCAATTCTTGATAAAAATTTTGCCTCACATAAGCTGGATATCGTGGTAGGAGGTTGAGGATGGGAAATTTGAAGCCAGCCTGGGCTACACAGCAAGATCCTATCTCAAACAACAACAAATTTTCCTAGGGGGAAAACACATCTTTCTAGTTTATACAAAGCCCGGGTTGGGAGTTGGGGCTCAATAGTGTAGGCCAAACTTGTTAACTAGTGATTCCTCTCTATATGGAACCAGTACAGTCTGGGGTCCCTCCTTCTTTAAATATACATCTAGGTATCACTCCATGGTCTTACAAGCTGTACAAAATTATCTGTGGATGTTGTCAGTTGGACAATGGCGGGTGATGTATACTTGGAATGTGAAGTGTCTACCCAAGTAGGTCATCTGCAACAAAACAAAACAAAAAAAACAAAACCAAACAAACAAAACCCCCCAAAAACCACCCCCCAAAACCAACAAAAAAACCTCCCAGAAAACAAAAACAGCAACAACAACAAAAAACTACCACCAACAACCTAACCAACTTATCACAACCTATCACAAACTGGTTCCACCCCTCTCTGGCTTTGATACAAGTTCAAAATATGTGTGTGTGGGGTCCTTTGGAATTCTAAGGATGGGTGATTAATTTTTAAAAACACGGTAGGGCTCTCCATGTCTTCCCCACCCCCTTCCTCACACAGAGATATGCAGTCAACAAACTGTACCAAACAGTGAGCCTTTGTCTCTGATATTAGCCATTTTCAAAGACACTTTAATTAACAACTGAATTTAACTGTGTATTTTCGGCTGCAGCTATTGCTATTTTTTTTTCTTCCAAATGGAGCATGAACTGCAGAAACTCTTCACAAGAGGTTTCTCCCTGCAAACCTAGCTACACCATCCCCTGTAACAAATCAAGTTCTATGGTTGGCTTCCCGCTTCCAAGCACTCACCCTGTAACCCCTAAGGAACTTTCCTAGCTAGCTGCTGCTCGCTCTGTCCCTTCACGTTTGGATTTTGGTTGTTGGTGGTGCAGCTAGCTGCTGCTGTTTACAGTTAGGATCAAATGAAGACTAGGGCACCAGCCTCTAGGAAGTTTCCTTAAGACTGGACAGGAGGTCACGGAGGAGTTCTGACCACACTTTTGGAAATGCTTGTACCGAGTACCAGGATTCAGAGCTGGGTAGGGTTTTAGTGCTCCAAACCACAAGCCATCCACCACCATGGCTCCAATGAGAAGGGAACGCGAAACCCAAAATACAGTCCTATTTTAATGATTCACATTTTAATCTCATACAAAAATAAGTCCCTAATCAACACTTTTTTTTCTTCCCGTTTAGTGTAATGTCTTCCTAACCCTTCCTAATTTACATGGCCATACTGGGTTTGAGCTTGTGGATCTGATCAATGTTTTATTTTGGCATTATGCAGAATAGAAAATGCAAACATTAAAGAAATGTGTTCTTGATGATTACTATTAAAAAAAAAAGTCTGCAATTAGCGTATCCATTTTGGAAGGGGAGGCCAGGAAATATAAATTTAGTGACTGTGAAGGGTGTTCAGTGAGGGGCACAGACTGCAGACACTGCCAGCCTGGGGACCAGGTCACCTTGAGCAAGTTCCTGGCTTTCTCTACAAAATGCAGACTGTACCACCTGCCTCTCTTGCTCATCGTAAAAGTTCAAGGAGGGTACTCTCCGTAAGCACCCGGAAAAGAGGTGGTGTCCCCACACCTCCTCAGGCCCTTGAGGGGGCTTAAAACAAGGGCCAGGAGGAAGAAGCCACTTTCTTTTCTGAGTTCTCCTGTCTTTAAAAGAATTTACTGACTGTTACTGTGTGTGTGCATGTGCGAGCATGTGCATGTCACGGCGCAGGTGTGGAGGTCAGAGGGCAGGTAACCTTGTAGGGTAGGTTCTGTCCTTGCACCTTCTCCTTGGTTCCATGGCTTAAACTCGGGTCACCAGGCTTGCATGGTCCATGCATTTATTTACCTTGCAGGGCCATCTTGCTGGCTCCTGGAGTTTTCATTTCTCTGTAGTGGAACTCTGGGGTATGATAAATAAATTTTTAAACATGTTCTTCATTTTTTTTCAGGCCTGGGTTTCCTCATCTAGACTTTAGTTAACTGTGCAGGACACAGGATCCTCAGAAGTACTCCGCATACTGAGACCAGCACAGGCTGAACAGTAAGAGTTCCTCCTGGCTTCAGCCAGCACCAGTCCTGTTCCACTATCATTCTGATTACTGAGATCATCCTAGTGGCCCAGGACAGTCAGGTCTCAGGTGGAGAACAGAGGAGGAAGGTCTGGGTTCTACAGTCCACCTCGAGAGAAAAGGGTGAAGAAGGTGAACCATGGCCATTCTGCCTGGGGTCATCATCCTTCCACACTGAGCTAAACCCAGCGTTGCTGTCACGTGCTCTGACTTCATGATGCTTTAGCCTTACATCCAACAGCTGGCAGGGAAGGGGCTGTGCAGAGAGACCTTCCCACGGAAGGAAGAAGAGGGATGGTCCATTGAAGTCTCTGCCGGCTGCTTATTGGAATCCTGCTCCATAAGTAGCAGTTACACATGCTTATGCCTTTCATGGGGATGGCTGAGAGCCATGGGAGTCCTAGCTCTGCCAGGCAAACTTAACTCTGACCCTGAGAGTGGGCACAGCTGGATCAGGCATGGGTCCTCAGCAACCAGGAGTTTGCACAGACGAAATGGCTGTCCCAACGCTACGGAAGATGCCTCTTCTGTACATCGTACACACTCTGTTTATAGGCTGTCAATAACAAAGTACTTGTAACAGCTTGGAATATTAGGTCTTAAAGAGAATTCTAGAAATGTCTTATATTGGCCCAAACTTCTGCTCTCTAGGAGTCCCCTCGCTCCCCTTCCCCTGCCAAGAAACAGCCTTGGCGGAGTAAGTCCTATGATGGGCAGCCAGCCCTGGCATAAGAAAGCCATTTTTCTTGATGACTCTACTTAGTATAAAGTTGTGTTGAGTTGGAATATGGCTTTCTTTAAATTCTTATACCCTGGTCTTAGTTTCCAGACTGTTCAAAAATATGTCTTGCTTACAATTTCCTAAATAGGTGAGGGTGGCCCCTGTCTCCCTCCAGGTCCGCCGCCCTTTGCTCCTCTAACACCTACATGGTCTGTGGGTGGATTCTTCAAATTCTCAACTGTGCAGATAATATCATTTACTTTCTCTTAATTATTATCATGTATGTGCTCGTGTGTGCATGTGTGTGTGTGTGTACGCTCACGCAAAGAGAAATATAAAGCACACATGTGGTATTTAGAGGACAACTTGTGGGAACCAGTTCTCCCCTTCTGCCTTGTGTGTATGGGGTCGAACTCAGATCGACAGACTTGGAGGCAAGTGTCTTTACCTACTGAGCATCATGCCGGCCCAGGATAGCATACTCAAAATGTAACACTGGCAACTCTCCCTTGAAGAATCTACACATTTGGGAACACATGCTTTTTTGTGACTTTCCTTTGAGAATCCCACATCCTTGCTCTTGGGGCATGTCTTCCCCGCATCTCTCTTAATCCCTGTGAGTAAGCCTGAATTAACAACCTTCAACTCTGCATCACAGAAGTAAAGTTAACAGTAACAAGGAGATCTTTGGAACACAGAGGGTATTTACAATAAGTTGTATATTTGCCTAATGAAAACAAAGCTTGAGCCACAGAACTGTGTACCCAACTTCGCAAATCTCAGGCTCAGAAAAGGAATAACTAACTGGTCCCAACTGGTACCTCTACAGTAGAAGGCAATGGAACCCAAGTCTCTGCATTCATAATCAACAGCTAGTTTGTCCGCATATGCGCATGCTTACTTGCAAGGCCCAGGTACACTCATGCTACACAGAGGATTTACTATGAAGTTGGGAGCTTCACTCTTCCCTGGAAGGAATGCTGGAAACTAAAAATGTTTCTACCTTCCAGGTTTATGCCCTAATACTTTCATATTATCCTGGGTCCATATACACACAGTGAAACTCAAATAGCATTAACATGTGT